AATATAATCTCACGAGTGGTTAATACCGTTTTTCATTTGTGGACACAATTACCAAATATTAGGATTAGAGTACAAGGTTTGTAAACAACAATTCAATAATATTACCAAAAATAACTGATAACTTATACGGCATATTGATTTTGAAAAGATATGCAAACATTTATGTCATTGGCATTGAATAGATTGTGTCATTCCCAATGCATAATCTATAAGAACTCATCGATTATATATTGTCAATGTGTTAAAAGTGGATGCATTTAAGGACATCAAGAATTTCATACATTTATTTATAATACCAATGAAAAATTTGACACTATTTATTTATTTAAATTTATATATTAATAATACAAGTTTAAAAATTATACTAACTTTATATGTAAAATATTTTATTCACTAAATTATTAAAATGCTATAATAAACTTTATTTAAGCTAAAAGTTTATTTATAAAACTTTCGTTCATTGATAAAAAGTTGACTTTTTGGTCTGTTGAATATGATTTAATTTATCTGAGTTTAGGAGGGGGTGCTCCCCAAAGGGCGCCCCCATCGGCCACAAAGTTGATTGCCGTCACAAATGAACACTCGTCTGACGCCAGAAACAGAACGGCATTCGCGATGTCTATGGGCTCTCCTATTCTGCCCAATGGATAACTACTACCCGTTACCTCCAACAGGCTGTTCACTGAATCCTTGTCCACACCCATGGCCTGAGAGAAATCAGTTCTCACTCCCGACGGACTGAAATGATAAATAAGAGATTTTTGATTTTAAATTTAAATTTAAAGCAAAACAACTGATGGCTTACTTGACAACATTCACACGAATCCCTTTGGGGCCCAACTCTAGCGCCAAACACTTGCTGAACATATCGAGCGCTGACTTTGACATCGAGTATATGGACATCGATGGTCTCTGTAATGATACAAATATTGCCAACAATGAATTCATTTAACTATAACTCATAGTTAATTGAATACATACCGGTGTGAGAGCAGCCATACTCGATATGTTGACAATATTTCCTTTGGTTTTCTCGAGATGTGCGACACAGAGGTGTGTCAGACAGACCACTGAACGCAGATTAGTAGCCATCAGACGGTCGTAAGTGTCCAGAATATTTGGGTCCCGGATGCCACTCGTGGCTCCAATCCCCGCGTTATTCACCAGAATATCCAGTTTCCCAAACGTTTGCACAGTTATGTCGACCAGACGTCGGCAGTCACTCTCGTGGCTGACATCGCCCAACACTTCCAGCGCCTCCAATCTATTCGGTGATACCTGAGCGCACTGTTGACTCACTGATGATAGCTTCTGTCCGTTTCGGCCGCTAATAACAACCTGCGCCCCATATTTGGCAAACTGTATGGCAGTGACCGCACCGATGCCACCACTGGAACCCGTTATGAGCACTACTTTTCCCGTAAAATCTTTTGAGTTTGACATCACTTTGTTTGCTACACAATATAACTGATGAATAATATTATATTGTTGATAATATTAATTAACTTAATCAATGAAATTATATTCTATTGGTACAAATTGTCTAAAGAATTGTATACATTAATTTTTCTTAAAAGACAAACCTTTTTATACCGGGTATTTATGTGATATTTATACTTTCACTTACATTTGAATTTCTAATCTTATATAGTATCATAGCAATTTTACAGATATTAAAATAGTATAGAAAATATAGCAACGAATAAAGTGTTGTACTATTCAAGGTCGTTTATGACACTTCAGAAAATGCCCTTTTGTAAAAGTATGTTCTACAGCTCATTAAGGTAACATAATATTACTAATACAATACTGTATTACTACAGATATACAAAATTGAAACTTGAAGATTGTCTCTCAATAGATCACTATTTGAACATTATTTAATCATTTACTAACGATCGTCGTAAGAAAGTGACAATCTTACAGTATATACTTTGTTGTTTAAGTGTATTATTATTTCATTGAAATTTTTAATCATTTAATATTATTTCAATTTAATAATAAATATATAATAATGAATAATCATATAAAACACTAAAAATGTAATATTTTGTAGTACATTATTTTTAACAAAAAATAGTATATAAAATGTTATTAATTTTTCATTTATATTTATTAAAAATATTTACGTTATGGACTTTAAATAGTTGTATAACAAATTATTAAAGTTATAACTTATAACTAAAACAAATTATAATTAATTTTTAAAAATAAAGATCAATTTAACAAAGTATTTATTAGGGGAAATAGGTAGAATACAGTTTGAAAGTTAAATAGTAAATGTTAGTAATGTGGTAGCGGAATATAATTAATTACTAATAAAAATATGTTTTTAAATGTCACATTTAAATGTTTTTATACAATTACACAAAGATAAAAACACAAACGCAAACATTACAACTTTATAATGAATTTAAAACTTGTTATTATTGTCTGTCTAATTTGTATATAACTTTTATAATATTTTGTATAATGACAAATTATAAGAAATCAACTCTCTGTGTTGTTTGTGGTGATAATGCATCAGGTACGAAATATGTTTATTAAATGTGTGTAATATTTTGTTATATTTAATTATATGTAGGCATGAATTTTACTGCAATGACATGTCATTCATGTAAAGCCTTCTTTCGAAGAAATGCTATAAAAGTAAGTGAAATACAGCACAAGATTTAAATTGTCTACACTTTTATAAAGACTATTTTAAATATTGTACTTTCTTTTATATTGGACTAAAATATTTAGTAAATTGATTTTTATTTATATTTGTTGCTTGTTGAGACTTTTCTATCGACACTAATTTTACTATTCACGAATCGTCAGTATCAAGGATCTTATTCAGTATTGTATTTTATTGTTAAGAGTTAATGTTATGCTATAATATTCAATTAAGTTTATTTTATTATTGACAAATATTGAAAACAACTTTCTAATTAAACCTTGAAGTTTGATAGAGTACAGTATTTACTTTTTATAATATTTATATAAAACTACGAATGATCAACTTAATAGTAGCCATAGAAACATAATATGAAACATTTAATAAAATATTATTTTGTTATTGTAATAAATTGTTTTATTTTTAAAGTATATTTCTAGAATTAGCAACAATATACTGTAATTTTTTAATTAAAATACAGTAGCTTAAGCAATTAATCTAATTTATACAGTACTGTACAGTATATAATGGCCAATAATTTGAAACAAAAATGTTGTGTCATTTGTGGAGATAAGGGAATTGGTATTACTTTCATAATAATAATTTTCCTTGATTATTAAAAATTATATTTCAATTTAAATGAACCAGGCTTCAATTTTAATGTACAAACATGTGAATCGTGTAAATGCTTTTTTAGACGCAATGCTTTTCGAGTATATATTTTCCATTTATTTTTAAAAATTATTTTATTTTTAAATTGATTTTAAATTATTGGTGTTTATTATGAACTGAATTTAGGACTTGAAGTGCAAATACGATACAAACGATTGTGTGGTAAATGTGGTCACAAGAAGAAAGTGCGCC